CCGCTCACTGGCTGAGCGTGGTGCAGGTGCGACACCGAGGGTTGCGATCCCGTTGCCGGTCAGTAAAAAAGACAAAAAGGAAAAATAAATGTTTATTGTAACAAAGTTTTTTTTTTTTTTTTTTTTTAAAGATGACCGGTAAGGGGATCTTAACCCTAGACTTGGTGTTGTCAGCACCATGCTCACTCAATGAGCTAACCAGCCATCTCTATATGGGATCCAAACCCAGGGCCTTGGTGTTATCAGCACCGCACTCTCCTGAGTGAGCCAGGGGCTGACCCGTAACAAAGTATTTTTACGCATTCTTTTATTTACTTATTTTTTTGTGGATGGCTGGTGTAGGGATCTGAACCCTTGACCTTGGTGTTATGATACTGGGCTCTGACCAACTGAGCTAACTGGCCAGCCCCTTTTTAAGTATTCTTAAAGGTAGAGGAAAGGGGCCAAAATTATAGTACAAGTGATAATCTTTTAAATAGGAGGAAATGAATCAGGTAGCTTTGACTGTGAAATTTTTTCCCAGTGGTCTACCTTTCTTTATCCACTTAGGATAATATTTCTAACCCTCTATCTTAAAGAATGAAGTGTGATTTAGTATTCATAAAATACTTATAAGCCCCAGATTGCCTCCTCTGAGCCTACTTTCAGCTTCAACTTCTGGGCTTTTTTCTCACAGAAAGAGCATTGTCTAATAAATAGCTCACAACTATGGCTGAGTATCCTTCAAGGAAAATATAATGTTGGTTCTTTCTTATTAGCCAGGCAGGAAATCCAAAAGCCAGTGTTGCTGAGTTAGATTTTTCTAGATTTATATTGTTAAGAGTGTTCAGAAAATTCATTTTAAAATTGCTGATTATTAGAAAAACCTTTTTAATACCCCTAAATATATTTATGTTAAAATTACTCAATTCAGCAACTTTCTCTATGTGCACTTACAAAGGATTTTAAAGAAAAGGAAATGATGGAGGGAAATGGTGAGAGGTCAGTAGTTTCTAAAGAACAGAAGAACATGAGATAGAACTCACTGATTTTCCTGCTCTATTGTCCCAGTACTCTTTTTCATAGGCATTTCTGAGTGACATATCTCATCCTCCCTGGAAAGCCTGCCTCACTTATAAAAACATCAGTTGCTTCTTGCACAGGAGAAAAATATAATCCAGTCGTAATTACAAATTATGGCATTAGGATCCTTAGCCTATATATTCATAAAGTCTTAAAGCTGTTATGCATTATTTGGGTGTATGAAGTTGTTCTTAGTTTGTGAATGTATTAAGCTGGCCAAGGCAGAAGTTTTACTCTTTTTACTGCTATATTTAGTTAAAATAATATTTTATTTCTTTGTTTTGCTTCTTTATAGGTAATTTTCATATTTATGTTTCATTTCTACAGAGAGTTAATAAAAAAAATCATCCTACTCTTTATCCTGGGAAGATTAAAATTAATAAAAAGAATTTAGTTTGTGTTCTTTATGGCTTTATATGGCATTCATTATTATCATGGTCCAGCAGACAAGTATGCATTTGTACTTATTGTAAAGTAGAAAAATAACAAATACTGGGCCGACCCGGTGGCACACTGGAGAGTGCGCCGCTTGAGAGTGCGGTGGTGCTCCTGCCGAGGGTTCGGATCCCATGTGGAGACCGGTTCCGCTCACTGGCTGAGCGCGGTGCGGGTGCAACACCGAGGGTTGTGATCCTGTTACTGGTCAGTAAAAAAGACAAAAAGGAAAAAAAAAACGAAAAATAACAAATACTCATACATATACAGCCAGTTTTATTTAAAGAGTTAATTTGTAAGATTTTTATTTTAAATGTTACAAATATATTAACATTTTGTTTCTAGAGTAGTTCAGTCATATGGGGAATAGATGCAAAAATTGAAATAATACTTATGTGATTTATTTTTTTGCAGGTAATAGACTGGGTAGACCCATCATTTGATGATTTTTCAGAGAGTACAGGCATCTCTACTATTACTGCCACATCCTTAGGTGTGAATAACTCAACTCATGGAAGAAAAAATGTGCCTTCCACATTAGGAAGTAGTAGATTTCCAGCTAGGAAAAGAGGAAAACTGTCTTCCTTAGAACAGATTTGTGGTCTAGAAAATTCAAAAGAATATTTGTCTGAAAACGAACCGTGGGTGGATAAATATAAACCAGAAACTCAGGTACTAAGTAGCATCCAAATATGTTTACATAATTTAATTGGAAAAGGAAAGGGATGGGATGGAGAGGGATGTATGTTTTCACATTTTTACTTACAAGAATCTTTCAGTGTAAATGTTAGAAAAAAATAATAATTTCCAGAGTTTTTTATGTTCCCAGGCTCAGATTTTCTCAACAGTTATTCTGAAGTTCTACCATTGTTTCTTTGTTTTAGACTTAATTTAACCCCCAACCTAGAATTGATCTCTTTATTATTGTTATTTTACTAAATTTGATACCCCACCCTACTCCCTTCCCAAAATGTATTTCTGGATTTAAAAAACTTGCCCAAAATTATACAGTGGTTATTATCTTAAGAAGATAATTTTTCCATGGTAATATAAAAGTTCAAGTGTAATCAAAAGAACCCTTATTACAATATAGCATGTTACTGGTTTGCTATTTTTTTCATTAAAAATGTTTAGGTTAATATATGCTAATGTACTAAAAATCCTTGGGTTAAAATGTTTTATTTTAAACTTGAAACTTTCATCTTAGCATGATCTTGCTGTGCATAAAAAGAAAATTGAAGAAGTTGAAACCTGGATAAAAGCTCAAGTCTTAGAAAAGCAACCAAAACAGGTAATTAAATAAGAAATATGTTTTAAAATATTTAAATCAAATGTTAGTCTGACTTAGAGTGGTTCATAAGAAGTTAAACTTTTATAATGACTTTATTCAAATAAGTCCAGGTTACCTCCAATACCAAAGCTCCCTAACCTTACTACTTCCAGCCTCACTAAAAGACTCAGAGACTTGGAGTTATCCCTGTAACTTGTACTTCTTTTTCGTTTTTATGTCCTGTTGTCAGCGTAAGGCAGTAAGGCACCGGAGACCAATAGGGTACTAGTATATTTAGTACATCAGATTATTTCACACTGAAACAAGCAGGCAAATTACATACCAGTGTCCATGCTAAGTATAGCCTAAAACAGTCATTACTAATTATAGGGTGATGGTTTTTTTTCACTTCCTAATTCAGCAGTTACCCTCAGCACCCCAAGGTAGAATACTATTCACTTTTTCTTTATCTCTCTTTTAAACTTTTTTTATTTTGAGACTCTTCAAACATGAAGGAAAAGAAGAATAGTAAACCTACTTATATATCCATAATATACCCATAATTTTCCCCCTTAAGTATTTCAGTAAATTATAAATATTGCATTTCAGTCAGACTTTTAGATACTTCGGTGTGCCTCTTTTTTAAAAAAAAGCACTTTCCTAATTAACTGTACATACCATTATTCTGTAACAAAACTAATTGTAACGTTCTAGTGTTATGTAATGATCAGTTCATATTCACATTTCTCCAGTTGTCCCCAAATGTGTTTTGCAGCTGGTTTGTTCCAACCATAATCTAATCAAGGACTACACATTGCATTTGATTGTTACGTCACATAGGTCTTTTCTTTTCAAATGTATTATCAGGCCCCTCTACCCTCTCTTTTTCTCCACAATGTTGATTTATTGAAGCGACCAGGCTAATTGACTTGTAGATGTCTTATATTCTGGATTTGTCAGATTGTTTCTTCCTGATGATGATTAATTTGTTCTTTTATTCTGCATTTCCTATAACCTGGAATTTTTAATCAAGGGCTTGATTTGACTCAAGTTGAACATTTTTGCAACAATACATTATATGTCATAGTGTATATTTTATTTTATTTTATATATTTATTTTTTTAAAGATGAAGGGAAAGGCCGGCCCGTGGCTCACTCGGTAGAGTGCGGTGCTCATAACACCAAGGCCACGGGTTCGGATCCTATATAGGGATGGCCGGTTTGCTCACTAGCTGAGCGTGGTGCTGACAACACCAAGCCAAGGGTTGAGATCCCCTTACCGGTCATCTTTTTAAAAAAAAAAAAAAAAAGATGAAGGGAAAGGGGATCTTAACCTTTGACTTAGTGTTGTCAGCATCACACTCTCCCAAGTGAGCTAACTAGCCATCCCTATATAGGGATCCGAACCCGTGGCCTAGATGTTATCAGCACCATACTCTCCCAAGTGAGCCACAGGCCAGCCCTCATGGTGTATATTTTATATTGTGTCATATCAGAAAGTATGGATGGTTTTCCTGCTAGCTTCTCTTTTTTTTTTTTTCCTTGTCTAGACATTGCTGACCAGGATCTCCTGCTATCTTTGATGTTAAATTTAGTAACTAGATTAAGGAATTGATCTGTCAAAAATGTTCATTGTAGAGTAATTTCCTCTTGCAACTGTCACACAATCTCTGGGGAGATAAAATACTTTATTTATTTTTGGTGGCTGGCTGGCAAGGGGAACCAAACCCGTAACCTTGGTGTTACAAGATGGTGCTCTAACCAACTGAGCTAACCCACCAGTCTCACCTGAAGTACTTCAGTATCCATTTTCAATCCTTGCCTGAAGCACTTATTTAGGTTGTGAAATGATGAAACTCTATTAATTTTATAATTATTTGCTGGCATTTTTTTTCTTTTTTAATTAACACAAAGCATTTTAGGTTTATTTAAATATAAATTATAATTTATACGAGATTTTTCTTTAAACAAACAAGGTTTTCTTTAAAAAAAATTACACGTGGATTTCTTTTTTTTTATCAGTTCTTCATACTGTACAATCTTTTTTTTTCATGCTTTTTTTTTTGGTGGCTAGCCAGCTTGGGAACAGAACCCTTGACCTTGGTGTTACAAGGCGGTTCTCTATCCAACTGAGCTAACTGACCAGTCCCCACAGTATAATCTTTTTGTTGAACAAAAGTTGCACTGTTAACAATTATTTATAGATCCCAAATAGACTGAGACTTCAGACATAAAAAATTTAACATTCATTCTAGTCCAGTGATTAGTTGTAAGAATTAGGGCCGTGCCCGTGGCGCACCGGGCCAACCCGGGCTGCTGCTTTTAAAAAAAAAAAAAAAAGATCTGCTTGGAAATTTAGTCAGTTCTCATTATTTGAGGTAGTTATGTTCTGTTAAGTTGCTGAACTAGCAAATACTGAACCTTTGTTCCTAAGAAAAATCCAGGATTAGATTTCTGCAAGCCTCTGTTAACGGCATTTTTGTCAGCCCCTCAATACGTAACCTTGTTATATGCGTGTTTCTACTTCAAAACACCTTGTTTAATATATATTGTTGATTCTTTAACTGTGAACTCACGGCCAACAATGCTGTTAATTCATGCACTGCCATTTTATTTATTTATTTTTTTTCCTTTTTTCGTGTCCGGCAACGGATCGCAACCCTCAGTGTCGCGCCCGGACCGGACCGGCAACGGGATCGCAACCATCGGTGTTGCGCCCACCCCTCGCTCAGCCACTGAGCGGGAACCGGTCTGTAGGTGGGATCTGAACCCTCGGCGGGAGCGCCGCCTCACTCCCAAGCGGCACACTGTAGCAGTGCGCCACCGGGCCGGCCCCATGCACTGCCATTTTAAAAAGTGGGTCTGGCTCTCTTCTAGGTCCAAATACATAGGTCCTTACCTACACTAGTTAATAAAGGTGAACAAATGAGCAAGGATTACAGCCCCGCATTGGATGTTGGACATCTTCCCCAATATGTTTTTAGCTTTAGCTTTTTCACAAAATCTAGTGTGCAAAGGAATATTACTGGGAGCCACAACCTCTAGTCTCTCATTAGAGTCCTATCTTATAAATATGTTTCTTAATATACATTTCTGCAAACCTTGGCCTGGTGTTGTCTGCACCACACTCAGCCAGTGAGTGCACTGGCCATCCCTATATAGGATCTGAACCCGTGTCCTCGGCACTACCAGCGCCACACTCTCCCAAGTGAGCCAGGGGGCCATCCCTAATATACATTTCTTAATCTAATTTCAAACTTAGGTCTCCCATAAGAATATTGTATGAGGGGACTTAAGAAAGTTTGTGGGAAAATAGAATTAAAAAGTAAAAATATAGAAGCACACCTGAGAGGAAGGAGATAAAAATAAAAAATATAAACTTTATTTCTCAACATAAGCTTCATCAAGTTCAGGCACTTTTCTAAGCCATGATACCAGCCATTTAGTCCATCCCTAAAGAACTGAGCATCCTAGGAATTTAAACATGTCAATGCAGGCTTCTTTACATTACTAAGTGGGGAAAAATAGGTGCTCTATAAAGATTTTTTAAGAAAACAAAGATTTTTTTAGGAAACAAAAAGGAATCAGAAGGAGCCAAATCAGGACTGTATGGTGGATGCTAAATTATTTTTCATTGACACAATTGCAAAATTGCCCTTGTTTGATGACAGCAATGAGCAGGAGCATTGTTGTGGTGCAGAAGGACTCTCTGGTGAAGCTTTTTAATAACAGGTCCTCCTGGGCGTTTTTCTGCTAAAGCTTTGGCTAACTTTCTCAAAACACTCTCATAATAAGCAAATGTTATCATTCTTTGACCCTCCAGAAAGTCAACAACAAAATGCTTTGAGCATCCAAAAGAACTGTTGCCATGACCTTTACTCTTGACCGGTCTGCTTTTGCTTTCACTGGACCACTTCTACTTCTTGGTAGCCATTGCTTTGATTATGTTTTATCTTCAGGATCGTGTTGGTAAAGCCATGTTTCATCTGTTTCAGTTCTTTGAAGAAACCTGTCATGATCTTGATCCCACTTGTTTAAAATTGCCATTGAAAGCTCTGTTCTTGTCTACAGCTGATGTGGGCACAACAGTTTTGGCACCCATCGAGCAGAAAGTTTGCTCAACTTTATTTTTTATTTTTTGGCAGCTGGCCAGTACAGGGATTGAACCCTGGGCCTTGGTGTTATCAGCACCACACTCTAACCAAGTGAGCTAACTGGCCAGCCCATGTTTGCTCAATTTTAATTGTTCAATCAGAATTGTGTAAGCTGAGCCAGTTGAGATGTCTGTGGTGTTGGCTGTTATTCCTGCTGTTAATCATTGGTCCTTTTCAATTAGGGCACAAACAAGATTAATTTTTCCTCAAAAATTGATGTGGGTGGTCTGCCAGACTTCATCTTCAGCATCCTCTTGTTCCTACTTAAAAGGAGTTATCTATTTGTAAACTGCTGATTACTTTGGGGTATTGTCCCCAGAAACTTTCATTAAGCATCAGTGATTTCACCATTCTTCCACCCAAGCTTCAGCATAAATTTAATATTTGTTCTTCAATTTTAGCAGAATTCATGTTGCTCTGATAGGGTCTCTTTGCAAACTGATGTCTTATCCTTCTTAGTGCCTCAAACTAGATCTTGTTCAGACATGTTATAACAAGTTAATATGAGTTTATTTTGGTTCAAAAAATTTTTGAATTTCATGCAGTAGTTTTTCATTTATGCCTTTTCCATGAACTTTTTGAAGACCCCTTATACTCATATATTAAATTATATTATACAATGAGAGATCTGTATTAATTGAATTTTATGAGTTCAGGGAACCTCTAAAAGTCTTCATTTTAGAATTCATCTAATTAATTTAGCCAAAGGTTAGTTGTTTTAATTTGGCTACTAAGTAGTCCTTGAGAGGGACATAGTACAAAAATTAAGGAATTAGCAGAAGGGGGGCTCAGGAAATAAGATTCTTTCATTTTATTTAAAGCTGGTTTTTTCCAGATAGCATTTTTGTGAAATTTAGTCTGCTTATACTGGACATTCAATAAATATTTGTAGAAGTAATAAGTAATATTTAGAAAGAAAACTCAAAAATAATGTTCTAGTATTCCAGTGATTTTGGTTTTTAATTAATGTTTGTATTTGGTTTTAGGGTGGATCTATTTTATTAATAACAGGTCCTCCTGGGTGTGGAAAGACAGCTACTATAAAAATACTGTCAAAGGAGTATGGTATTCAAGTACAAGAGTGGATTAATCCAGTTTTATCAGACTTCCAAAAAGGTGATTTCAAGGAGATGTTTAATCATGGTAAGGTTTGCTGTGAAGGTAGTAAAAATAGTGGGGAGATTTGTGCTTAGTGGAACTTTCAGATGAAGCTGTATGAGTGAATTTTTCCTCCCATACTTCCTAGTATCAGAGAGAAGTAATTTCAGGAGAAGGAAGGGAAGCATGCCTACAAGAAGCATGCCTACAGTACAGGGAATGAGATTCTTTGAGGATTAATTGTAACTGTTTTCTTAGATAACAAGTTCCTTTGTTTGCATTATTTAAGTTCTTTTTTTGAGGCTGTGGCTAGGAGGTTAGACAGTGTAAATAAGATCTTTTTATTTGTTTAAATGTAAATCGAACCTTAAGATGTGTTAAAGGAACTTGCCTTCTAACAAAATAGCTTAGATCAGTAAATAGAGTCAAATCAATTCAAAATGTGAGGGAAAGACTGTGGAATTTGGAAGAAGCCATAAGACTAACATTTAAAAATTAATAATAGTACCAATTTAAAGATGTATTACATTATAACTTTATACATATGTCTATATACTCTAGCACTATCATTTTTATCTTTTATAGTTTTTCTTCACTGTAGGTAAATTTGGGGTAGCCAAAACTAAACTAGGAGTAGCCATATCTCCTAGGCCAGTTTAAAGTGAGAGGGGTTCTGTAGAGGTCAATTTTATGTTGATGTGGAGTATTCCTCAAAATCTCTTTTCTGGGCTCTTATTTAACATGCTTTGTGCATACCATATCTTTGGTCTGTACATCCTTATGCTGCTAGTATCTCATGCACCTAGAACTTTTACTGCTTTCTAAGTAATAGCACTACTTTTGACAGTCTGTCTTTATTTAAACAATCTTCTATTGAAACATGACTTCAGAGGACTTCCCCCATCCTAAGCTTACTAACCAGTCATTC